AGAACGTCCAATGCCTGCTTGCTGCGCACAGTACAAGCCACTATCCTAGCAGCCCGGTTTTGGAGGGCTTCAAGGTCTTGTTTACGACCTTCCCCGCAACAGCCCCACACACTTACACAGTATTCTAAAATTGGCCTAATTAGACTACAGTACACTACATTTGCACTCTCTCTAGTGAGGCTTCTGCGAAGCCTGCCGAGCATTCCTACGCGTTTTCCCGCCTTCGAAATTAGGTACTTTATTTGCTCGTTCCAGCTAAGGCTGGCTTATGCGCACGAACAAAAAGAAAATATGCCCTTAGTGTAGCAAGTCACATTTTTTAACCATTTCCATAATAACTGGCGGTAAACTTGTCTAAAAAAAGGAGATTTGAAGTTTCCATGCCTGCGGAACAGTAGGTTGGTAAGCCTGTGACTGCAATAAGCTGGTGTAGGTGAACTTCCGGCTTTGTAGCCGAGCCTCACTTTGTTTGGAGTCCCATTCATGAAAAAGAACATACCAAAATGTCGTGTAAGCGGTGTATTTGTGGTCTTCTAGCGATATTTACTCTGGTTTCCCTTGTTACATCAGATGAATCGCATGATGGAGGTCAACATAATCCTTTACATGACTCTAAATTGACACACGACAAAGAGTAAGTAATCAATGACCCGATAGCCTTCGCAATACTAAAATTTCGTATGTAGAAGACAAGCACTGAGCAGGGACAAGATCTAGTTTGTAGTTTATGATCAGTTTATATTTGATCTCTAGCGTGTTGCATTTTACCTGCCTTTTTTTTTGTTCTGGGGTATTTCCTACTAAACGAAATTTTATTTGGATAGGACTTAAAAACTAAGTGCGATGTGGTTCCATCACACTTACAGACTGAATATAGAGCTCAAACGAAAAGCTTAATACTATTACACGTGTCCTTAAATACCCCATAGGAATGTCCGAATATAAAGTAACTTATGAATTAAATTATACGGCTTTCGTTTCTGCTGTAATAAATATCTTATATTTTGTAAATATTGTTTTGGTTTTTTTTTGTTTTTTAAAAATTGTGTTAATTGTTGAGTTTCAATTATTTTTTATCCACGTGAATTGGCCATGTTGGTGGACAAAACAATAAATATTTTTTTGCAGAATTTTCTTGAATGAAAAGTAGCTCTCAGTGAAGAAATATAGTTCTGTTCTTGTCCACCAGCATAGCTTAAGTGGCATGAGCTACAGAAAACCAAACTAGCAATACAAGTTCTATTATGAATACTATAGAGAAAGTGATCAATTGCTCAACATTTGTTGATTTACACATGTTGAGCTCTTGTTCAACAAAACGTTTGATATTAAAAAGGGTGTCATAAAACCCTCTTGGGAGTGGTAGAAATGTTTGTTTAAGGACAATCGAAGTACATGTGAAAAGTTATATGAAGGGCTCCAGGCCATGGCTGATTATGTGAGCTGCGTTGGCTTTCTTTTCTGAGATCTTAGTACGTTGATGAAACCGAAATCAGCTTTGTGATAACATGACAGCTACGTCAATCTAGTAAGTCAGGATCCAAGTATTAGGATGCCCTGAGTAGTGGTTAACACACTGCTCTTGTACACTATTTCTGTCTGTTAACATGGACACTCCAGGCTAGCTCGCCTCATGTAGTACCAGGTTAAAATTCACCTCAGCAAAGTGAGTGTTCATTTATTGATGAACTGAATCAAACTGACATGCAGTAAATTTGAATGTTGTTTTGTTACAGTCACATCAAAGAACACCTGAAAGATGAGATTGACCTAAAAGATGAACAGATGTCTGATGAAGATTTACAATTTCATTATTTTAAATTGCATGACTACGACCATAACAACAAACTGGATGNAATCAAACTGACATGCAGTAAATTTGAATGTTGTTTTGTTACAGTCACATCAAAGAACACCTGAAAGATGAGATTGACCTAAAAGATGAACAGATGTCTGATGAAGATTTACAATTTCATTATTTTAAATTGCATGACTACGACCATAACAACAAACTGGATGGCATTGAACTCATGAATGCAATGACCCATTACCATGATGAAGAAAGTGAAGAGGGCAAGAGCCACCAGTACACAGATGATGAAATGGGAAATATGATTGACCAGATTTTAGAAGAAGATGATCTTAACAAAGATGGATATATCGACTACCCAGAATTTGTGGCCTCGCAGAAATCCTAAAAGTCTAAGAAAGTGACATTTGGTTTATCTAAAATTATCTGCATATAATAATATTTGTATCTCAGAGCTGTTTAAACATTTTTTGATATTGATGATAATATAGCCATTTTGATACTTACTACATCAATTTAAATTATCTATCCTGTCTGATGTTATATACCACTGGAGATCTTCAAGATGTCTATGGAAAGGTTAGGGGTATAGAATGGTAAGTTTGGGACTTTGTGGGACTGCGAAACCCAGATTTCTGAATTCGAGCCCAAGACTTAAACAAATTTGAGACTGTGAGATGCAAAATCACCTGAAGACGAGACTTCGAGACCTATCACAAACGCTTCCTAGATTTCGAGATTAGGCCAAAATGTTCTAAGACCCATGTTTTTTGAAGAACCATTCTATACCCCTAATGTTCAGACATCTTCAGATATGATTGAATCTTTTTCAAAAAATTCTTGCTCCTTTAGGATAAAAATCTCACACTTTTGACTCAAATAAGTTGCCTTGTTCAAAATCTCTGATCCCAATTATCTCTGGCAGAGTTCAAACTTGTTCAAAATAAATTTGTATATTATTACAAAACTTTTTGACTCCCAGAGTCAATATTAGACAGTGCTTTTCTTATTTTTAATAAAAGTTTAAGAAAGTAACATCTTAGATTAATTTGAGATTAAATTATATGCATATTAATATATTAATTTTATTTGTTGTACCTCAGAATCTGTTTGAAAGATTTTTTGACGCAATGTTACATTTGCTATAAACCTCATGGTGGATGAGATTATTAATTTGTTGCATCTTTTCTGATGTCTGAGTGGAGCACATGCAGTCCAAATTTGTGACCCAAGGAATCAGTGTTGTTTTGGTTGAGATTAGCCTCCCATGCAGGCATTTTTAGGGGAGCTCATATTTCGGTAAACAAACAAAATGCTGTGTGTGGGGGCAGAGGAAATACGAGCTCCCCTAAAAACGTCTGCGTGGGAGGCTAGGTTGAGATGTGAGGTCAGTTTTTTTGCCTACTGCAAAATGCAGAGTTGTCCTGGTTACACTAGCATATTTGTAGAGTGTTTTCACTCGCATGGTCAGCATCTATGCAAATTTATTGGAACAAAAGAAAGGGTTTGAGTAAGAAAGGAACTCAACTCCCACAGGACTGGAATGGGACACCAACATGGCCGCCGTTCCATTGTTTTGGGACACCAATATGGCCGCTGTGACGTCATGTGAAAACACTCTATATTTAAGAATAACAGTGCAGTGGTAAGCAAGCTCTAAATAGTACTTACATGTACCTTATATGTGCCAATTAGCAGCTTTCCCCCTCCCCCTTTGAATTAGCATCCTCTTGAGGCAAAACATATTGATTAAGGGCTCTTTCAAACTAAGGACCCATCCCACCCTCCCCCCGAAAAACACGTTATTGATCATAGGGTGAAAATGGAAGGATTTTGAATTAATTAATGATGATAACTTAGAGAAATTGAGAAGATAAAGAGAGTTTTGAGAGGGATCTCCCAAAGATTAGCCTGTATACAGACCCCCGCTCCCCTCAGGAAATATCGCAGAGCCCTTCTCCGATTTTTTTACTGGAAGTAAAGAAATGTCTTATTTTCAGGTCGAAATTTTAGAAAAGATGATTAGTTCACCCAGCCCCGTTCCCAGTCGTCCTCGGCGATTTAGGATTTGACGTCACCCGTCAAGCTTGTCGGGAAAATTCGCGGAGGACGCCTCGTGTTATCACACTCGGTTCTAAGCCTCCTCTGGTAGCTCATATAGCGCGAAGTGGCCGAGGCTGAAGTTTACCCACTGAATTATCAGCTCATTCTAGACTCAGAAGATCTATTAAGCGCCCCAAGGCGCTAATTGGAGCATTAAAGCATTCCTACACTCAATAAGTTAATGGTGACATACAGTTATCTAGTTACTTTTGGCTTTGAGAACAAAATCCATTATGTGACCTTTCAAATGAAACCTCTTCTCATTTTGGGGACAAATAAAATAATATATAAGCTGCGAACAGCTAAATTTAATGTATTTCGGGAAAAAAAGGAGAGAGAAACTTGGCATGTTACAAAAAATTGTCTAAATGGAGCGGATTACCAATTTATGCGACTTGAAAATAAACCGGCATGTCCCTAAGCAGTCGTTCATTCTGTCGTAAAAAAAAGGGTTTGTTTATCTCCAGTTGTTCCTTGCGTATTTTCTGTTTATGTCTTGTATAAAAATTTTATATGATTGAGAGCAAGTAAGTATAGAGCCTGAATTTCAGACATTTCTTCGAGCCGCTTACTGAGAGGAATAAGCGACTCGAAGTAATCGTCTCAAATTCAGGATAAATTAAGTATTCCAATCATTTCTCTCGTAAATTTTTAAACAGAAATCTGTTTATTACCTTTTACCAGCCTTTTTAAAATCAATTTTTATTTCAAATCAAGTTATGGCTCTTGGTTGCAGAAGCAGTTCCTTAATTCTGTCACCCATCATTAACTTGTTTCTGATCCTCAGTAAAAGTTTAGACATGAGCTCCAAACCACCACTGGGTGTTCGACTGGGGGCCCTGTGTGCAGCGAAAGTTGGTGTTGAAGGATGAATAGAAGCCAAAGTTGTCTTCACTTGGCACGGCGCCAGTACTAGCAGCGTTAAACTCACAGTGAGCGGCTTCACTGTCGGTATGCAGAATGAATGTATTGTGTATATCCTGCCAGAAAGGCGCCGTCAAATTCGTGCCTACGTAGCCCCTGATGTTGATGTGTTCCACTCTCTTGCACGTGCCCCACCCCATGAAGTCGACGATGTTAAAGTCTTTGAAGTTTCCTCGGAGGTAGTCTCTGAAATCGATGCCATGAGTCGGATAGCTGCATGTTGCTCGCCAGTGGGTGGAGTGAGCCTGCAGGGATCTCATTCGCTCCAGACTTAAGCGGTAACGATCCCAGCTTGGGTAGGTCTCGTGTTCTGGGGCATTAATCTGAAATGGGGAGTTGTGAAAAGCAGACATAAGGCGATTCTCTCTACTCCAAGACATGACCAGTGTCCATGCAATACCGGGCTCAGATCTCAGATCACAGTAGGCTAAGAAAGTATTTCCTCCGTTGTCATAAATCTTATAAATGCCATCATTGGAGGCACTTTGCTGTCCATATTGGACGCAGGATGTCGGCCGGGATCTAACCTGGAAGAGACAAAACAAGAGACTTTGCAGTTTCTTTACACCGCATTTCAAAATACTTTATCAGACCCTATCATCCTTCCAAATGGTACCAAATTAAATTCGCTTTTATATGCTGATGATTTAATTATTATATCACAATCTAAAATAGGATTACAGAACTGTCTCAACACATTATCCTCTTTTTGTAACTCTTGGATGTTAGATATAAATTCCAAAAAGACCAAAGTTATGGTCTTTCAAAAACGAGCGAAGAAAAACTCCAATCTAGAATTCCATATAGGTAAAGAAACCATTGATATTGTCCATGAATATACATATTTAGGAACCCGTATCTCCTCAACCGGTAATTTTAATATCTCACTCGAACACTTGAAAGAGAAGGCTCTTCATGCTCTTTTTAGTTTAAGAAAACACACAAACTTAAGCAAATTAAAACCTTCTCTTGCTTGCAAAATATTTGAAACGATGATTTCCCCAATATTATCATATAATAGCGAAATTTGGGGTGTATATGTAAAACATGATTTTAAAGCTTGGGACAATACCCCAATTGAAAAAACCCACTTGAAATTTTGCAAGCGTTACCTAGAAATAAGCAATAAAGCTTTAAATGTTGTAAGTAGAAGTGAATTAGGACGGTTGCCATTAATTATTAATATTTATAAAAACATCCTTTATTATATATTGTATCTTCTGCGTAAAAACGAGGATACTATTGTTAAACAAGCCTTTCGTACTTCGCTAGAACTTCACTGTAATGGTAAAAATAGCTTTTACCATAATCTTATGAAAACATCTGAATATTATGACCTCCCTGATTTTGATCCTAATAATTTAAGTGAAGCTGAAGATCAAACACTATATAGATATAATAAAACAAAAATATATTGCATATTGGCAACATACAATCCATCATTCTAAGAAACTACAATTCTACAGCTTATTTAAACATGATTATAAAATTTCAAGTTATCTAGACTTACTGCGCTTTTCACAAACATGCGAACTCTAAAGTTCAAAAGCCGCCTTTGCAATTGCGTTTTTCGCTGCCGTCAATCATAATTACGATCACAAGCAACGAACCTTAAAACACAGAAACACACAAAACGGATCGAAATCCACCAATCACAAATCACAAACCTTGACCTTTTGAACCCGTTAAAGTAAAGTTTTGGGCGCGATCCATTCAACCAAAATTCCAACCGGTCCGACCGGGAAAAGTGGACCACCTCAAAAGGTGGACCCGTTTTTTCGAAACTTTTCCGGTTGGACCGAACCGATCCATTGAGTTTTGGACCGAAATTTCCGGAAAGTTTGGTTGAATGGATCGCGCCCATTTGTTTCCTAAGAGGTCCGTTAAGATAATTGACAGCAGCGAAAAACTCAATCGTCAGTTGGCTTTTGAACTTCAGAATTCGCATGTTTGTGAAGTGCGCAGTAATTAGAAATTCTGCTAATAGGAAAGATTTAGTGAAAATTCGTATAAGTAACCACAAACTCATGATTGAAACTGGAAGATATAATCAAACTTCCCCCAACGATAGATTCTTGAAGACGAATTTCATTTTCTCTTCCATTGTCCAAAATACTAAATCCCAAGGGAGAAATTCTAAAATCAAATCCAACAAAATTTTGTCGACTTTAATCAGCTATCTTACACAGAATTAATAATTAAATTGATGAATTCACAGGATTTTTCCGTAAATTCACATTTGTTGAAATTTGTCTCATTATGTAATGATTTACGTAATAATTTTTTATCAAATCATGCTGATGACACTTGATTGACTATAGTAATCATTGCATTGCATTATCATTGTTATGATTTGTTTGTTTGTTTGTTTGTTTTTTCTTTATGTTAAAGCTTTTGCAATACTGTAACTACATAATTATAGTCATGCAAATAAAGCTTGTTGATGTTGTTGTTGTTGTTGTTGAATAGCGTAGAAGCTTGCTTCATTGACGGATGGTAACTTCAGTATCTATTCAGCTATCCAGGCACTTCACAATCTTCCAAACAAAAGGCATTGTTAATCCAAATCCTCCTTCACTGGCCGATTTTCCGCCAGCAAGGGTGAAAATTCTTTCTCTTTTTTTTTTACGATGTCTTTATTTCGCCCGTTAAAATACATAACATAATACAGAACGTTTTAAGAAAATCGCACAGATCATTTACAATTATTATATAAAACCTAATAAAACATTGGATATCTATATTGTTAAATTGCCAAGTTGTATTGAAACCTTATTCTATTAAAATAGCAATTCTTAAAACGTTCTGTATTAATCCGTGGTAATTGACTTGTTTTTGATCTTAACTCCTTGGACTAAATGACTCTTTGATTTTCGGCAAAAGGGCATATAATGGATGGTTAACATTGTTCTTAATTTTGGTGAACAACTTGCGGTCACACTTCTCTAAAAGGCCATAGATATTAATTAACTCACAAGTGTAACGTCGCTTATTGCACCTTTTTAAAAAGCATTGAATGGTGTTTAAATGCCTTTTTGAGTGATAATAATAATAATAATAATAATAATAATAATAATAATTAAAATAATAAAAACGATAGTAATAATTATAATAATATTTAATACTTCTATAGCGCATTTTAACATAGGTATAAACTGATGATTGATCTGGTGAAAACGTTTTGTACTGATGAGCGATTCAAGTTTACGTTTAGCCAGTACAGTTCTAACTAATTGTACATTTCACACACCCTCCTGAAAACTATTTCACAGTCTCTTGGCTAGATAAAATCGCAAAACTGTACGCCTATCAGATGATCTAATTCAAATGTACCAGTATATAGCTGTTAAAATTATAGTTGATGTCGGTTTTCAATCAATGGACACTGCACTGAAAACTTATCAATGAATATGATTTAAGTTTTTAAGCTCACCTTCAAGGAAAAGTGATGTGAACTCTCGTTTTCCTTGTACTCGTTTGGGTTGATGAATTTGTGGGAAGACAAAAGCTGGCACCAAAATTTTCCATCGGCTTCTTTGGAGGCGGCCAGGTTCAGAGACAAACATGATGGATTGCTGAGACATTCAAAGGTGCAGTCAAAGGTGTCGTACACTGTAAACGTTCCAATTCCAGATACGTTTAAAAAGTAGTACTCTTCTTTTACAAAAACATCTTGACGAAGATCCTGGTGGTAGGTCCCGCCCAGGTCTACGAGAATCATTGAATATCATGAGTTAATAAAAACTGAATCATGGGATAATGCATTTCTAGAGCTCTGATTGGCTTAGCTATCAAGGTATATGAGCCATTATACTATGCTCTTTAAATATGGTAACTGTGCTCGTCTGCTCAAAATCAAAAACAAGCTGAAAATCGGTTGTTTTTACAAATAAAGTTGGGAAGAATTGTCGATATTTTGTGGGCGTTTTTAACAGAACAATTATTCCACTCGCGCCTGTTGGGTATGAGATGATTAATTATAGCCAACTCATAGCCAACGCGCACTCGTGGAATAATTGTTAAATATTCAAATTGCTAGTCAATTTTTTGGCGCAAAGCTTTCTGCTTGGGAAGTACTGGGATGATCAGTACACTAGAGTCACTAGAACGAAGGGATTTTCTCCCGCATAAACCACGAAAAAGTACAGGAAAAAAATAGACGCTTCATTCTCCGCCGGGTATTCTCCCTCCACTTGTAAAGCAAATAGAATCAAATTAAAAAATGACTTGGGTTTCTTACTCCAAGGCTCTATTTTTAAGGAGGGGATTTTTAGGGGTGTTAAAAAAATCTGAAGATTCGTGGTAGTGCCCGCGTATCCTGGCCGAGTAGTTCTGCGAATAATGTACAACCAATTTTATCGTGTCATGTCATTTAATGCTTTCTGGAAATTTGAAAGGCTTAGCAAATTCGGCATGGTATTTTTTTTGGCGGGGGGGGAGTGGGAAGGGGGCGGGGCAGGGTAAAATTTTTGGTCGAGGATTTTTTGGGGTTTTAATGGAAGCCCTAGGAATTTTTGGGTTTTGATTTTTGTTCGCATTCGATCATCTCTGAAACTCGGAGTACCCCTCCTACGCTGGGTTTACACTTCCCCTCGGTGGAGAGCAGTAAGGAGAAGTCGTTACGTCATATTGCCATGGTAGCAAAATTTCTCGGGATGACAACAAACCAAAAACGTCCGGCTTAAAAGCGAATTCACATTGTTTCAAACTTCATCGATCTTATTCAATTTCATACATTTAAATTTCTCGAATGTTGGCGAAATTTTCTGGGGTTGAATCCACGGCGTGTCAGCTGTCATAAAAAAGTTTGACCTCTCTTTCAAACTAGTTTTTCAGTTTTTAACCGTTTGAGCTGAGTTTGTATTCCCGACAATCCCATGTTTTTGTATTTTTGATGTTGACAGTTTTTGGCGAGAAAATGACGTCACAAGACTGACAGTAAAACTGAAAATAACTTTCAACTTATGCCATGACAGGTTATAGCAATTTTGAAAGAATACTCAGAAAAGAACTGAAATGTGAAAAACGTTTTTGAAAACCTCATTTGGATGCGAAGATATAACATTCTAAAGATCACCAAATTTCTAAAAATAGTGAAAAAAATGGCGGAAAATACGAAATTCACGGCTCAATAACTTCTCAACCAATTAAGCTTTACAAATAAGTTTTTTACATTTGAGCTCATCTTTGTGAGGTCTTAAAAGTTCTAGCTTGTTATGCCATAAGTCGAAAACCATTTTTTGTTGTCAATCATATGACGTCATTTCCCGCCAAAAACCACTTAAATCCAAAATCCAAAAAAGTACGATTGTTGGAGTGAAGTTTTAATTATTATTGTGCAAAGTCTCAGCCCAAACGGATAAAAATTGAAAAACTAGTTTGGACCACTTTTTGATGACAGCTGACCCGGGATGATCCGAAAAAGGAAAAACAGACCTTTTTTGTCTTGTTTTCATCTACTCCATAAAGCAAACCCTTGAAATTTGGAAGTACCATATCGCAGTTGTGCACCGTCATCCAACCAATGTGCAAAAAACCGTGATGCATAAGCTCCCTATTGTTGTTATCCAGAAATTCTGTTACCATGCTAACGTGACGTCACAGTTCTCCTCTCTATTACATGCTCCAAGAATGGCGCATAATTCAACGGAATGTTGAAGTCGACGGTTAAAATAATTAATAGGTTCATCATATTGGTAGTATTTGCACGCGCGACGTAAGTCAATAATTTTTAAACCTGAACAGACAAAAGCTTAAGTTGCTTCCACGGAAAAGGACTGAGAAGACTGTTTATTGTTATCATTATTATCATGATTATTATTTTTATTTTAACATACTACTTATTCACCGAGAGTGAGGTCATTACAAGGAACTACCAGAACAGAGGCCTTGATGCATTAATCGAGCGATAGCGAGGTCAATACATTAAGATTTCCCCCAGCTTTAACGACCGAACGGACGAGGTTAATAAGTTATTATATGGCCTTTTGATTAAGGACCTGACCCTGCGACTAAATAAAACCAACAACTGACTAGGGGAAAACTTAAAAAACATGTTACCTCAATGAGCTGTACGCATGAGCCCGCGATACACTTAAGTGATACTAGTCAGCGGATATCCTTTTGACAGCTGTCAATCTACCATAACATATATGTCTATAAGGATGTCCAACAAGTTATACACAGATTGTATATGCCTTGGACAAATGCTGGGTCATTAGAAACAGCCAATACGTGCGTACTATTGTAACAAGATAATAAGGTATTTTAATCACATTTCAGGTGCATCCAACGACTTTTTTCTGTCAAATAACTGTTCAAAGGAGCAAATATATGGCCTAGAAATTTTCTGTTAAAACTCGAGAAAGGCTCAAAATTTTGTGATAACCGATCCTCTCGTCTAACATATTCGGAGTTAGCTAGTCTACTCACTTACCCACGATTTTCGTAGGTTATGTTTCTCATACTTTATTACCAAGACATTGCAATTATTTTTAAAAAAGAGTCCGCTGAAACCAGCAGGAACGTCTGAGGATCGTCTCGCGGTATACAAACGTCCATCTTCGCATGCGACAAACTATAAACTAATAAATTAATAAATATTTACAAGAGAGAATGAGCTATCATTCTCTCTTGATATTTAGCCTCGTTTGGGAGAAAATTTATTACAATTGCTTTTTGGTTGATTGATTCCACTCGTCTTGCTTTAGGTCAACCCAAATTAGCTTTTGATTCGTTTCATGAAAAGTTCCGCGTTTTGGCGTAGGCTTTAAACTCTCTTGACGACCAAAGTTCCCCCTAAGACATCCCATAAGATAAAAAGCTTTTAGGGCAGCTCCAAATTAACCAAAAAAGGCTTCTAAGGCATATATAGAGAAAACCATTTGAGACACTTCTGCCGTTTAAGGTATGTGGAATAATTCGGTCGTTTTGTGCCCCTGGTGTTAGTAAATTAGGTCGGAGGATCTCTATTAGGAGACTCAATAAGTTTATTGAAATGCATTGCATTGTATTTGAAACTGTAAGCATGCAAAAAGAATAAACTCGACCACCAACAAGTCTCAGATAATAGGGTGAAAACAAAATTCATTAAAGATACATGCAAAATGCAAACCCTAAATTCTGCAGTGTAATTTAACGCATAGAAAGATTTCAATCAATCATGCTACAGAAAATATTGTTGACTTTTGATCTCGACGCATCAAAGTTTTCTCTCCTTGATTCTCGTCCTCAGTTCTGAAATTTATAGCATCGTGTAGTTGTGCTAAAGGGCAACAACAGGAGAACAAAATAGACCACTTGCCGTACTACAACAGCTGGAATTTCTAAAAATACTTTTTTTCCATCCACCGAGTATCTTCGTTTAAAAACTTCTCGTCTCTCAAACTTGTCGTTAACCTTTGTTCAGTTAATATATGATTCTCTTTATATTGCTTCTGTGTGTGTGTTTTTTTATTTGTTCGTTTGTTTTTTTTTTTAGCAATCCTCAGTGTATTTTCTTTCCAGTTATAGTTAAATAGAAATGATTTACAGTTATGCGCAATTATAATGTTAAATCTAACCTTGTGGGTATGATGCTTCTTCTAGCGCAAGCGACAAAGCGAAGAAACAAAGCCAGCAAATAAATGGAGAGCACATTTAGCCGTAAGCAGTCTGTTAGATAGCAGTCAGTTACTCTTAAAACCTGGTAGTTATAGCTACACGTACATAGCAACTGGTTCCAATAACACAGTAAGGGGGCGTTTTAAAAGTCATAGCTGTAGTTAACGTCATTTCTAGCTAATTGCCGCTTTACAAACGTCATTTTATTATTAACTTAACTAAAAAACGTCATTCCCTCTATAAACAATGTTACGATATTTATGTATCATGGTCCGCACAAAGAGAGAATAACTCTATTTTCGTCACAGTTTCTGAATATGGAACCAATGCCCTGTATATACGCGAATAACTGATCGAAAATACATAATGAACATTGTTGTACCTGTTACATTCACTTTGTAGTAATATAGAACGTAACTCACCACTAGTAACTTGTATATCAGTTGAGCAAATGATAAGCGAGATATAAACTTTTGTAAAATTGCAGCGGAGAAATCAGTCCAAAATCACTTAAGCCGTGATAGACATTGTATTCTGTTAGGATAAACAAGTGTTAAATAACTAACAAATTATTTTCACTAACAGGGACTGGGCTAGCCCACTCTTTGAGATAACTGAAAGAAAAATTAAGTTTATTGAGTTTATTTTAGCTAATCAGATTTATAACTTACAGAAAACCTAATTTTACGGTAAGCAAAGCAAAGGCCGACCTTTGTTGTAACTCCTCCCTCTTCGCCATTGGGGACGTTTCCTCGCGAAACTTCCCCAGCGGCGAAGAGCGAGGAGAAACGGATGTTTTCGCAGGCTAAACGATTTTTGTAAAATCCAACTAGTGGTCTATTATCAATGCTGCGATCTGATTGGTTGAGCTACTACTAGGCTATATGTTATAGCCTATACTAGTAGCGAAAAGCGCGAGCTTTTTGGCGGCAAAAAAGGATTAAAGTCTAGCTTTAACAAGCTAGAAGTTTTTTATTCTCGATATTTTTGACCAACTAGTAAGATTTCACTAAAAAAATTATTCCTCTCGTCCTCATGGTCTCTCAGCCCCAGTCTCCCCTCGTTTTTTTCCCCTCCAGTGTTTCTTTTTGTCCTGGCCGCGTACGATTTAACTTGCTCCCCACTATCTAAACGCCTGGAACAGGCTACTGTCGATATGCAGAGTGGATATATTGAGGATCTGCCAGAAAGGCGCCGTCAAATTCGTGCCTGCGTAGCCTCTGATGTTGACGTATTCCACTCTCTTACACGCCGTACCCCGCCCCGGAAAGTCGAAAATGTTAAAGTCTTTGAAGTTGCCGCGGAGGTAGTCTGTGAAATTGATGGCATGGGTCGGATAGCTGCATGTTACTCGCCAGTGGGTGGAGTGGACCTGCAAAGACCTCATTCGCTCCAGACTTAAGCGGTAACGATCCCAGTTCGGGGAGTTCTCGCTTTCTGGGGCATTAATCTGAAGTGGGTGGTTGTGAAAAGAAGAAATAAGGCGATTTTCTCTACTCCAAGACATGACCAGTGTCCATGCGATACCGGGCTCAGATCTCAGATCACAGTAGGCTAAGAAAGTATTTCCTCCGTTGTCATAAATCTTATAAATGCCATCTTTGGAAGCGCTTTGCTGGCCATATTCGACGTAGGATGTTGACCGGAATCTCTCCTAGAAAAGACAAAAGAAGACTTTGCAGTTTGTTTGCAGCAGAGCCTCGCTGACTGATGGGAATTTCAGTATCTATTCAGCTATCAGACACTTCACGATCTTCCAAAAAGCGGCATTTTTAGTCAAAATACTCCGACCTTTACTATGGGCCGTTTTTCCACCGGTTAGAAAAAATCGCTAAGAATGATATCTGCAGCACTGATAGCATTGTTTGCTTTTGTTCCTTTTTACTATAAATCGTATAATTGATATTGCATGCATCCACTGTAAAAACTCTAAGAACACTTTTCTCAATTCCTTTCTATATACTGGAAGCAAAGCATTTTCAGCTTTAATGCGGGCCACTTCAGGCGAGTCTCCGTTTTGTTCATACTCGTTGATCAGAGCTTCGAGCTGGGCTTCGTGGCGATTACAAACTTCATTTTGAATGCGTGACCAAGGATCTACATGCTCCTCCTCCTCCTCTCCGGAAGAGTCCATTTCTTCGCTAGATTGAGAACTTTGAGATGATTGTTCGCTTTCTTGTGAGCTTTCAATATCGTCGTCATCATCTTCAAAATTTCCATATCCTTTTTGAACGAAATGATTATAATTGCTGAACATGGTGATCCGAACTGCACGAGGTTTAAGAACTGACTGAATCAGAAACAGCGGCTTACTTCTTTTTATATAGCTATCGATGGAGGCACGGCTGCAAAGCACAACGGAACTCTATGAACTTTCATTGTACCCCTCCTGTACCCTACTGTACCCCTCCTGTACCCCTCCTGTATCCCTACTGTATCCCTCCTGTACCCTTCCTGTACCCCTACTGTACCCCTCCTGTACCCCTACTGTACCCTTCCTGTACCCCTCCTGTACCCCTCCTGTACCCCTGAATTCTCTTAAGTACTCCCCACCATTGTAAAATAACTATATATTAAATGATTCTGTTAACTGTGAGTCATTTTTCATAAGCAGTCATGCCTCGAACGTTTCCTCGAATTTGTCCGCTATGTGGCAAACCTGGTGTGTCCAACTTGAGTTCTCATCTTGAAATTGTCCATGACTTAACCGGGCTAAGACGAACACGACTCTTAAAAGAGGCTAAGGTTTCTTGGGAATCAAAAAGAGAATATATTTCTACAAGCGTCGACTTACCTCGTTGTTCATCTAGTTCCACGAGAAAAATATGTGAACCAAGAAAAAGAAGAAGACCAGTAAACGAAACGCCGAAAACTTCTTCTACTGCGAAGAAGGTAAAGCTTTCCCATGATGTTTCCTTGGCAACCGAGCCTTATCCAGATTTTATGTTTCGCCATAAGTTCTCACTCCTTGTGGTTGGACCAAGTCAATCAGGGAAAACAGTTTTCGTAGAACAGATTCTAACGAGAGATCGTATTGTCTACGAAACCAACAAGCCCCGTCGCATTTTATGGTATTACAGTCAGTGGCAAGATAGATACGAAGCTTTGAAATCAGCGATCGGAAAGGACATTAAATTTTTTCGTGGCCTTCCCACATTTCAAGAAGATCTGCGAGAAATTGACCCAAAATACAACAACGTTATCATCTTTGATGATCTAATGGCAGAAGCGATCGAAAGCCCCATCGTTTCTCGGTTGTTTACCCAAGGTCGCCATAGAAATGCCAGCGTCATACTGCTCCTTCAGAATATGTTCCCCAAGGGAAAATTTAACACCGATATCAGTCGGAATGCACAGTACATGGCTCTTTTCCGAAGTCCTAGCGATCGGAAACAAATCGGAATTGTTGCTGAGCGTATGTTTGATAAGAATCGCCAACGATTCATGACAGCTTATTATCATGAAACAGAGAGGCCTTACGGTTACATCTTTGTAGATAATAAACCGGACACGGCGGCAAATAAGCAGGTGTTGAGCGACATCTTTGGCTCTTGTCGAGTTTACCCAAGTATCAACAAAACCTTAAAACCAGAGGGAGAGGTGGAATCGATCCCCCCAAAGGATCTTATTGTGCCCCCGAAATATGCTGAAGCTAAATCATCTACGCGTAAACCAAAACCGTTTGATCTGGATTGGTGTGGGATGACCTGGCCCGCCTTGCAGAATTATTTACATGGAGCGCCCTATCTCAAAGCTATTCCAGAAGGGTTTGGCCTTTGCGAGATGTACACGAGCACTCGAAATGCTGTTAACCCTTATACCCCCACAGTCATGTTTGCATCTGAAAATTACTGGCCCGTCAAAATAAAACATTATTCCAACGGCAAAAGAAAGTGGATTTATATACACGAACACGAACCAAGTGTCCAAGCATTTGTTCAAGAAACGAAAGCAATCGAAAGAGCTAGAGGGAGAGGCACTTTCTAGGCTTTGAACATTTGCTCACCATATTGTAATACTTTTTCTAAAGTTGTTGAGTTACTACAATAAATGTATTTTTTAACCGAAACAAAGGTGTAGTCTGGTTGTAGCACGCGCGTATTAATCCCACCATTGTTTATATATAATTGAGTTTATTCCCGTGGATAGTTTAGGCGACAAGCGTTCATGTTGGCTCAGTGTATATTAAATTAGTTTGCGATGAATAATAAAATACACTTCGCCTGTTAATGGTTAACGCTCGATACCACAGTCTAGAAACGTTTGAAGGTTGAATTATATTGACAAAACAGAATCAATGGTTTTTTAGAATAAAAATATTTATCTTTGGTCACAGTGAATAGTTTTAAGTCGAGTACTGTTTTCGGACCGTTGACTAGTATGTTTGGAAGCTATCCGCTCAAAAATATTATTTACTGTAGTTTGTGACAATAATAAAATGCTGAACGCTTTTATGTTGAACACATAATAGATTGTTTACTATCCAATCAGGGTTAAAAGATCCCGGGCAAGTCTAGGCGAGTTCAAAATGGTATTGTGAAAAAACCTGTTTTTGGAACTGGTTTTTCTGGATAATGATCAGTTAATGAGAATCCTCCGCATTTTATTCATGAGATCAATACAATAGCCTATGACGTCAGCGACGTTAATTTATTCTAGCGTAAATTAATGAGAATCCACCGCATTTTATTCATGAGATCAATACAATAGCCTATGACGTCAGCGACGTTAATTTATTCCACAGCAATTTAATGAGAAACCACAGCATTTTATTCATGAGATCAATACAATAGCCTATGACGTCAACGACGTTAATTTATTCCTCCCCACCTTAATGAGAATCCTCCCCAAAAATAAGGATAATTCGGTGCGCCCTATACTACTATATTTTCACATTACTATGCTATTTTTGTGGCGTAAAGCCTTTGTGGGGCAAGCTTCCTGCTTAGTAATTATAGTACTGAACAGTACTAGAATGAATCGAACGTACGGCACCTACTCAACGTCCCCAACTGTAAATGGTAGTTTCGGAGGAGACGAAAAAGCCACAAAAAATTTTCGAGACGACCAAATTTCCCCTAAGACATCCGAACAGATAAATAGTTTTGGGCAGCTCCAAATTAACCAACCAGGCTTCTAAAGCATAGAGAAAACCATTTGAGGCACTTGTTCAAGATGTCTGTGGAGAATTGGATCGTTGGGTGCCCCTAAGGGGCATCTGTAAATAGACCCTTTCACGTTTTTTTTTTTGCTTTTTTTTCATTTTTCAAGTTTTGCCATTATAAAGGTGATACGTTCAAAGCAAGCCTGAATATACAGTTGCTCCATAGAGTCGCGAAAGTATATGGTACTCAGGGGCAGCGTCTGTAAAATTACACCACTCTGCGGTGTGCTATATCTTCGTTAGTTATCAACACTGAAATTGCTTTCAAACTTGACCAATGTACTGATTTTAAGGCTTTCCGTTCCAGCTCCACGATGTTGACGGATTTTCGTTAACTGGTCTCACTCACAAGCTGAAGAAACCGTGGAAGGGTTTATTAGTTCAAAAGATCCCCCCTATTGGGAGACTTAATAAAAGTTTACAGTTTGTCAGTTTTGCTTTGAAACTTGTAAGCATGCAAAAAGGATAAACTCGACCACCAACAAATCTCAGATAATTGGTTGAAAATAAAATTTAATAAAGATACATGCAAAATGCAAACCATAAATTCTGCAGTGTAATTAATTTATTTATCACATAGAAATTATGTCAATCACTGATGCTGCCGTAAATATTGTTGACTGTTTGTCTCCATGAACCAAAGTCTTCTCTTATCTATTATCGTCCTCTTTTAAGTATTGCAAATTTCTAGCAGTTGTGTAGTTGTGTCAAACTGGCCGAAAAAAAAGCACTGCATGAAAAAAGTAGACCACCTGCCATCCTACTACTGCTGGAATTCAGTCTCAAAATACTTCATTCTTATCCACAGCAACTTCAGTATCTGAGTTCACAAAAATGCGTCTCTCAAACTTGTTAACTTTTGTTTGTTCAATTCAGTTATGATTCTCGTTAGTTTGCGTCTGTAGTTTCCCCTTTAAAATAATTCAGAGCACCAGTTTCCAATTTTCAAAACTACATAATAATAAAAATAAACTACATAACGAAAAGATTATAAAGGGGAAAAGCAATGACTATAGAAAATATCCGAGTTCATGAGGAATTAAGTAATACTAAAGGGTTCTATAAACCGGAGGATGCAGCTACGTTAGATATAATAAAGCTTCGCTGGTATCTCTACGTTTTACACACCGGTATTGAAAACTTTCGCATGTGTCTTAAAGTCTGGAACAGGGGTAACAAGTGGGTGAAGTTTATGATTATTATGTTAAACAATGTCAGTGAAAAAAACGCTTTGTAAAGTCTTGCAGTCTTAGAGCGGTTTTCATTTGAGTGTCGAAAAGTAATTGGTTTTGCACTTTCTACACGATGCGATTGGCTTAAAAGATTCGCGCCACCTTTTCATCCAATCAGAAGTAAAACCAAAGCCAATTGTGACGCGCTCGCATGCATTTTCCCGCGCTTTGCGTCAGCCACATGTAATTACTTCGAGTTTTGATTGGTTCAATGTATTGTCTGTGTCCTATGTGATTGGCCAGAGTAATTACTTTGGTTTTGGTTTTACGACACTCAAACGAAAACCACTCTATAAAGCGTAACAAGGTTTGATTTCTTAAAAGCTGCTGCATAACTTAAGTCCGGGTAAATAATCCGTAGAGCGCGCCTCGGAAGTTTCTCTAACTCATCAGATAAAAATGTCGGCAAACTGTTATATGGAAAACTTGACAAGCGTGTTCCATCACCAGACGAATGTATGTACGTTGGCGCGCTTAAGTTGCCTAGAGACGACTTTTTTTTACTACTTCATTGCAATGTAAGATGCACGTTTCATTTAAGATCACTTGAAATGGTTAAGCCAAGTAATTTGGCATGCGTGACAACTCTCGATGGAAAGGAAATTTTAGTCCGCGTGATTAACAAGTAGCAAAGCCTATATCACTGCTCGCTTAACTGTGATAATCGTATAAGAGGGGGGTCTCAAATTTGAAGGATGTTAAACAATTTATGGTCTACGAGACAATACTGGATGCATTTTGTTCGTCAGCTTATAAGGCAGTGCAATCTAAAGGCTCCTTCGTCCTGAAAAAGATCCCCTCTACCTGAATTTCTCGTTTTACGACTACTTTTTAAGATGAGCTCCAAACCACCACTGAGTAGTAGAGTTGTCTGCCTGTGTGCAGCGGAACTTGGGATTAAATACACCATAATAGCCAAAGTTGTCTTCATTTGATACCGCTCCAACAGTTGCGCTGAACTCGCACAAACCGGAACAGCTGTCAATATGCAAAGCCCAGCCCTGCCAAAACGGTACTGTAAGGTTCGTGCCATTGTGCCCTCGAATATCCACATACTCTACCCTCTTACACTCGCCAACACCAAGGAAATCGACGATGTTGAAGTCTTTGAAGTTTCCACGGAGGTAGTCTCTGAAATCGATACCGTGAGTCG